AGCTTTATAGAAAATCATGATGGTCATGATGTAATATCACTTCATGCCTATGCCTTATCGTCGCATTTAGCAGATTACAGATAGATGATACTATAGTTTACATTTTGTGATGATACAAGCAATCAAGCAGTTGAGGTTTGCTATATAGTACATAAATCTTTATGTTGGTGTACTATATATGCACTGTGTATATGCGGATGAAGTTGGACATCCAACTTTGTTTACATTGCTGCAAAAATGTTTATCAGACAGCTCTATATATGAAGAGATTTGATATATAATGTGATACATATTGCTTTACGTGAGTATAGTGTATATATGCAGGTAAAGTAGGTCATACTATATGTACATACATTTTGTTTTAGTAAATATCACTGGACTAAAATATAGTCTAGATTCTGTAATCAAGCAGTTGATATTTACTATATAGTACACACAGCTTTCTGTGAGTGTACTATATGTATCCGGTTAAAGGGATAGTTTACCCAAAAATGAAAATTCCCCCATGATTTACTCACCCTCAAGCCATACTATAGGTGTATGAAACTTTCTTTTTTCAGACGAAGACAATCGGAGTTATAATAAAAACTGCCCTGGCTCTTCGAAGCTTTATTTTTGGGTGAACTATCCCTTCAAGGTTGGATACATTTTTATGTTATTATTATTTTTTTTTTAACATTTGTTTACTTTTTATTTTCATTTTATTAGTAAACTGTGAAGCATTTTCACTAGTGATCTCAGACTTTTGAACCGCACTATATGTATAGGATTTATACTGTCTAGTTTGAAAGAATTATCGTGGTGGCCTGTTCTTGACTCCATTTGTGAGAGTCCTTCTGTTCAGCTTGAAGTGTGTGAAGAATTAGATGAACAAACTGACAGAGAGGGTTAAGCCTTTAGCTGGACATCACGTATTGCTAGATTCTGTCTCAACAAGCCCTAGCTGACCCCTAATACAACTGAAGCTGTGCAGCTTGATGGATCACACGGATTGAAAGGTGGCATATGTCTCATGTTGAGCTTCTGGTTTTCTGATTTTGTTGTCCTTCCAACATGGAATCTCAATAACAGCATTTCTACAGGATTTTTATTTGACATCATGTATGCGATCTATATTCTGCACCAATCAGATCAGTAAGTTCACTCTAAAATGAAAATTCTGTCATCATTGACTCACCCTCTTGAGGTTACAAAATGTTGCTAACCATTCAGTTTTGGTTACCATTGACTTTCATTGTATGGGAAAAACATACTCAAAAACAGAACCCACCCTGATGCTGTGTCCCTGATTGCAGGAGACTTTAATCATGCCAACCTGCAGACAGTTCTTCAGAAATATTACCAGCATGCCTCCCGCCCCGTAAGAACGCTCTTGATTACTGCCACACCACTATCGCAGCTGACTGCCAGACAGATCATCTGCCTGTGATTCGTATTCCAAGAACCTGAAGAGGAAGTATGTATCCACAGGAACACTGGATGCAGGAGCAGATGAAGTGGTGTGAGACTGCTCTGAGTCCGTGAACTACACTTGTTATTGATTCAATTAAGATACTATTTTTCAATTTGTTTTATCTTAATCATCTTGAAGAATGTACTTAAAAAGCTGCTTTATTGAGTCGCTGTTCAGTATGGAAGCTTATTTCCACCATGGAATAAAAATATTAAAACTTTTCGCACAATTGTGATTTTATACCTTACAATTCGCAGTTACAAGTTATAAGTTCGTAATTGCGAATTTACATCTCACAATTCTGACTTCTTTTCTCTATATTTTGAGTTTACATCACCAATACTGCTTTTTTCCCTCAGAATTCTCAGTCTACATCTCACAATTTTTTTTTTCTCAGAATTATTTTTTTCTGCCACAGAAAAAGTTGCAACTATCTTTTTTTATATTTTTATTCTGCAGTGCAAATTAGCTTACATAGTTCTGTGTAATAAATTAAATCATTTGTTTTTGCGATGATAACAACTGAGTTTAATTGACAGTCAGTGCATTGTGAATCACACCAATACACTTTCATGCCAGAGATGAACATTAGTCACCAGTAGTCTTTTAAAATTGGTAGGCTGATTTTAAAAGGTAGGCCGACACAGAATATGTGCCTGCTAAATAAGCTTTACAAATTTCCGCAGAACAGAAAATGCAAAAAAAAAAAAAAATGTTTAACTATAAATTCCGACACGTCGCTGACACCCGCAAAATATTTGGCATGCTAAATATCTGGAGCTGTCGGTGATTCACAATCATGCAGTGTGTAATGATTTCTGACTTAAAACTATATCGGCGATGACCTACAGCCAATGAGAGACCAAGATACAGGGCAGAGGGAAGTTCGGGGAGGAGTTATAGACCAGAATATCAGTATTTTAATAGATATATGAACAATTATATCATACAGAAACAAGCACAAACATTTGTTTGACCAGCCACAACATCAGCATAACAGTTACTGCAAAATTATTTACCTCCAACTCTCTTTGCAGAACACCCAATCCCTGTTCCCTGCATCTCCCTCCTGCATAATCCGTTTCTCTTTTTCTCCTTGTAGCTGGAAATCAGCTCACAGACAATTTGCGGGCTATATATATATTTTTTTAATATTACAGTCTTGCTCGCGAGAACTCCGGTCTGACGCACGCGGGTTCTCGCGTTATTTCCTTATCACTTCTCGCGTGTGTTTTGTTGTGAAACGTAGTTTGCGGACCAGACAGAGCTGTCGGCGATTCTTCCTATTGTGAAGTCATGCAGTGTGAAACCCCCTGTCGCCGATCCATCGTGCAATGTGAACACAGCAGCAACTGAATGCTACCCCAGATAATCACGCAGTGTGAAAACAACGGCGATCCGACGAGTTTGAAAATCGTGCAGTGTGAACTCGGCATAACTTGCCAACTAAATCACTTGTTGCCCATTCAGATCAAGAAAATACATTTTGTGAACTAACATTAAGAGCTATGAAAGTGCCTACCCTGTTGTGCCCCTGAATGCGGAAGACTTTAATCATGCCAACCAGCAGATGGTAGAAAGCTCTACAGATTTCCACATAATTATTATTATCTCCCAAAAGCAGCACATAAAATTCAAAAAAGATGTGTGGATTTACTTTTTGGCATTGGCATGACCTTCAGGAGTAGTAACATAACAAATGAACACAATTGTCCTAATCTTTGTGCACCACAGTTTGTGGCATAGTCACAAAAACGGACAAATGAAAGCAGTAGGGATTTCTCACTACTCTATGATTCTGATATTTTTCTAGTTGCAAAGAAAAATACTGTGACCTGTATAATGATTACAGACTGATCCACCATAATGATGTGCTGTGAAGAGCTGGTGATGGGGCGCATTAACACAATGCAGTCTGAGTGATTAGAGCCCCTGTAGTTCATATAACAATATAACAAGTCCAGTGAAAAGCAATTTCTTGGGATCTTCATGCTGCACTGACTCAACAGGAAGGCACTATTGTCAAAATTGTCTTTGTTCTTTATTGATTACAGCACCACATTTAACACCGCCATTCCTTCCAGACTGGAGAGAAAGCTGAATGACATTGATATGTTATTTTGTTTTGTGTATTTTAGACTTCTTTGCATTTGCATGGTGCACTATAACATTAAATTGAACCCTGAACTGAACATTTATCTCAGTGGTAATATGAAGTTGCACAGATCTACCCATAATTCTTGGTGGTAGGACTGAGTAGGAGGGTTAATCCAGAAACATGAGGCATGTGTTCACCCGTAGTAACCCTTCTCTCGGCAGAGATGCCTAATAAGCTGGAGCAAAGGGGTCGCAAGTGTTAAAGGGCTGATGGGGATAGAATGCCCACTTTAAGAAGAGAATCCAGCTTTGACCCGATGGGAAGCAGAGAAAATGAACCCAGGAGTATAAAAGAAGATAGGGTAGCATGAGGCTATTCAGAAAGAAGACCCTTGGCCTTTAGCTTTAACCTGAACAGAATGTAATCCTCTCCCTCTGTATTTTTTTCCCCTGCACTTTTTATCCTTCACCCAACCTGCAGCTGAATGTCAAGTGTTTACAGTGTCTTATTTCTCTCTCTGCAGTTCTGACATACATTCCTGCACACACACACACATATACACACTAGCGTTTAAAAGTTTAGGGTCAGTAGCTTTTCCCTGTTTTTTCTTTTTTATTATTTTTTTTTTTAGTCTTCTGATTACAGAGTTTTTTTTTAAATATGGAAAAAAACTGTAATAATGTGAAATATTACTGTTTAAAATGATGTTTTATTTTATTTTATTTTGTGATGGCAAAGTTGAATTTTCAGTCTTCAGTGGCATATGGTCCTTTAGAAATCTTTGTAATATGCTTATTTAGTGCTATATTTCTTCTTATTATCAATGTTGAAAGCTATTGTGCTGCCTAATGTTTTTGTGGAAACTTTTTTTTAATCAATATTATTTGATGAACAATACTCAGCATCTAATATCTGAACTCTAATATCATCTAAATATTTTGTGTCAGCTGACACTTTTGAACAATTAAATGCCTCCTTGTTAAATAAAAGCATACATTTTCTTACTTTTGAACTTTTAAACAATAGTGTATATATTAATTAGTGTATATTATAATATTTACTCTTTTGCAGTGTCACACGTTTACCAAAATAATTTTACTGAAAATCATGCTGTGTAAAGCTTGTCCCAGATAGCAACTTTAACCAAGTGAAGCGGAGCATAACATTTATAAATGTTATATTCTGCATAATTATTTGCTTTGAAACTGTACCAGTTCCAATGTTTTATGTTCATTTATTAATTAATTTGGTAAGTAGCCATGTTATTAGCAGGATAACATAATGTCACCAGGTCATTATCACAAAATAAACCCCTTCAGGCTGATTAGAGGCCCTCCTGTTATCCTTCAGGTTTATTTTGCATTAATAACCAACTGACTGTATCTTATCCCATACATTTACCATAAACATCTCACAATAATCTTCCTTCTCTCCATTGAATCTTTCCAGGGTATGGGGCCCTCCAGTATGCCGTCTGTGCCCCTCATGGTGGGCTGTGGCATATCCTGTACGGCTCTACTCATTCTGCTGCTCATCTACGCTGCCTTTTGGAGGTGAGTTCAACAAAAACCCTGACCCACAGCCAGCAACACAACACAGACATACAGAGGACCCCTTTTGAATGTAGCTTCCAGGTTCTGCTGTCCTCTGCTGATAATAGGATATTATGTGCTATTTTTGCACTATTCCCCTTGTTTACTTCCCAGTGCTCTCACAGGTACACTTACACTCTAAAAGATTCATTTTTCAGACTGTAGCTTCCCACATAGGGTTGCCCCTGCTGGGATAGAGCAGCTGGCATGGGGTAGATCTAGAGTGGGCCAAAACACCAATTAGCAATAATTGGGAACAAATGAGGGATGGCGGGATCCGCCTGTGGCAGGACAGGATTATGTGGAGAGTGCTAGTGAAGGCTAGCATGGTTGCTAACAGCTCAGTCTGGCAGATGGCCCAGGACAGTCACATGATCAGCTAACACCGTGTCCAGAAAAGAGCCAACATGTTGTCAAGTGCTTAGTCAAGTATTTATCTCCTCAGAAGAATGACTCTAATTTTTCCCTGAATGTATATATATATATATATATAAATATATTGATATATATATATATATATATATTTGTCACATGATGCTTCAGAAATCATTCTAATATGCTGTTTTGGTGCTCATTTTTAAGGGTGCTAGAGCTGGTTTAAATGTCTCGATATACTATGATTTTGACCCTTATCCCATAATTCCTGAGTAGCAGGTGGGAAGGTATTTCCTCTATCCAAGATTAGTGCACTTGCCACATCAGAGAGCTTATCACTGGCCTCCCCTATCACTCAGACCATTGATCCAGGGGACGCTGTCATTGTCCTCTTGAGCAGATCTGGCCAGAGCTCAAATAGAGGATGAGGACATTTTGCTCACCGGTGCTTGTGTACAAGAAGCTGTTTTGGAGTTCATCTGTAGGTCATCTGGGATGCTGCTCTAGTTGTCAGTGTTCAATGAAGTGAAAAAATGATAAATGGATTTTGATAAATGGATCCCACACATTTTATGTCATAAACCTGTATATCAAGCTTTTGTAAAGATAATAATTGCATAATAGCAACACAAAGTTGCTGTTAAAGTTGTCAGCATGTGACTTTCTTGTCTTTTCTTGTTCTTAGGTACATTCGTTCAGAGAGGTCCATCATCTTGGTGAACTTCTGCCTGTCCATACTGGCCTCCAATGTGCTGATACTGGTGGGACAGTCCCAAACGCTCAGTAAGGTGAGTGTGTGTGCACATTTGTATTTCTCTCATGTGTATGACAGAAAGAGCTGAGAAAGAACAACCGTTAGGTTCCCATCTTGCTGCCTTCATGTTTGGCTCCAATTTTAAGATATTAGAGTATTCTGGGGAATTATATGTACTTCCAGCATGATCTACATGACATTAACTTATTAAACTATAAATAACTCATTAAACTAAATAATATTAGATTTGTGTTCCTGGAAGTAGCCTCTATGTAGTTGTTTTTGTTAATAATATTTGTGAAAAATATTTGTGAATATTGAAGAAAAAAGAAAACCTGCAATATAACAAAGAGTGAAAAATTTAAGGGGGTCTGAATACTTTCCGTACCCACTGTATATATATATACACACACATACAGTTGAAACCAGAAGTTTACATACACCTTGCAGAATCTGCAAAAATTTAATTATCATACAAGTCATACAAAATGCATGTTATCTTTATTTAGTACTGACCTGAATAAGATAATTCACTTAAAAGATGTTAACACATAGTCCACAAGAGAAAATACATCAAGTATAATTGTACATCCTCATAATTGTATGTAGCTGGTATTTATTTATTATATAAAGTGATTTATTATATAATGTCATAAGGTGAATTTTAATTATTATTATTACTATTATTTAGTTATATAAACTTATAAAATTTAATTTAATTACATTTTAATTCTACATAATTTGAAATTACAATTCTACATCTGCTAAATATGCTACCTTCATACAAATTCAGTTCAAATTAAAAAATTAAATAGGGTTACACTTTATTTTAAGGTGTCATTGTTCCAGTGTAATTATACTTTTAAGTACTGAGTAATATTAATTAACTACATGTACTTACAAATGGTTAGGGTTAGGATTCAGGTTTGGTTTAGGGTTACTTGCATGTAATTATGCATAATTTATTGTTATTATAATAGTAAATACATGTAACGTGTAACGAGGACACCGTAAAAAAAAAAAAGTGCAAAATACATTCAATTTAAAATTGAGTTCTGAATGTCACTTAACCTTGGATCCCAGACTCCCTAGAGATAGTAGTCTGTCTGTGGTACAGGTAACTGGTGTTTGTTCTCTTTCCAGCCTGTCATGACATTATGTAAGTGGCCACGATAGAATTTGAGAAAGTCAGGCAGGCGCGTGTAGCAGACAGACGCGTGGAAGGCGCTAGAGGGTCAGCTTTGTGTCAGCCGTGACAGTCTCACTGAGAGAGCGTAAGATAGTCTACAGAGGCACCTGAGAAATAAGAGCTGCCATTCAAACCCAACCTGTCGCTCTGAGCTACAAAGAAAACTGCTCGGAGGACCCCTTCCCCCTCGATCCAGACTTAATATTTCACTAAATTCTCATATTCGGCATTAGTTTAAGAAAGTACAGATAAGCCTAATTTCGGAAACCATGAATGGTGTGAAATCCTTCTCATTTCCTGGGTCATTTGCTGAGCGGGCCGGTGTTTAGCATTAGAATATGCACCTCATTATTGTATAAAACCTCAGCGAGATACTCTGCTTACCGCTTCTCATTTGCGTTCGCCGCTTACTTAAATCATACTTTTCTTTAATTCCAGCCTGCTATTTTTCCTTAGAAACTATTCAACCTGTAACTAACCCATTTTCACTTTTTAAGTAGAGTCTATGAGGAAAAAAGCCTAGACAGAATGCGTCGTTAGAGCTCATTTTCGCACCACAGTGGAACCGAGTCAGTTTCTCTCCAAATGGACTTTCGTTAATGTCCGCGGCTCGTTCCCACTTCTCCTTCTCAATCACTTCATCTCTCTCTCTCTTGGCTTCGATAATGAACAGCTGAGAGCCATTTGCACCTCTTCTTGCTTCCTGTGCTTACTCTCGCATCTTTTTTCATAATTTCTTACTCACTATTTCTTTCTTCTTCCCTCTTTTGTCTCTAGGGACTGTGCACTGTGACTGCTGCCTTTTTGCACTTCTTCTTTCTGGCCTCTTTCTGCTGGGTACTGACAGAAGCATGGCAGTCCTACCTGGCTGTGATTGGCAAGATGAGGTCCCGCCTCATTCGCAAGCGTTTCCTGTGCCTGGGCTGGGGTAGGACACCCGCACACACACCAGAAACTAACATCAAAGGTCAAAAGCGATGTTATTGTAATGCTTCAGCTTCAGTTTTTCATCCATAGGAGTATAACATGCCAGCTCTTATCAATTCAGTCACATCAGATTGTCTGCAATGTCAGTTTGCTTCAGTGGAGCCCAATGACACACCATAAGCATGCCACAGGAGCTCAATGTTACTTCTGTATTACAAGATGTAGATGTCTGATCGTTGATAAGAAATGCATTGTGTGCATCCATCTTAACACTGGCGGGATCTGAAAGGATATTCAAGCACTTGCAGTAGCACACACGTACTTGTTTTGTTACTTATTGATCCACAATCACTTCCATTAATTCATAGATGCCCTTTGCAGATATTTTAGAATAGCATTGCTGCCCCCAGGGAAGTGGTAGATTTCTAACTAGGATGTCCAAAAAGTATTACTCATGTTACTCAAAATGTGAAATGTGGATATTGTCATAGATTGCTCTGGCTGGTCGTGTACAAGGTCAGATGGAGGTGATTGCATGGGCGACCTAAATTTGAATCCAGCTTATGTTATTTCTTCTCCCTATTGTTTAGAGTCTTATATCTGACTGTCTAATCCATAAAGCCAAAAGCCTATTATAAAAAAGAAAAAAAGTAAAATATGAATATGCAACACATACGGTTAAATAAATAAATAAGTAAATAACATTGTTTATTGGCTTCTTGGAATTGTCAAGAAAGTATAGTTTGTAATGATTAAAATGTAAAAAAAATCAATGATTGATTGATTGATTGATGGATTGATTGATTGACTGACTGACTGACTGACTGACTGACTGTCTGTGAAAAATGAATTAAATAATATTAATGGACATTGAAAATTACAGTTTCCCAACAAAGAAAAATATAATTATTGCATTTTAATCTTTAATGTTTACCATATAAATATTTCTGTTTTCATCAAGCACTGCATATTACCTCTGCCTGCTCAATTGTATTTATTTATTTATTTAAGCCCATAATGTCATGCGACTGGGCTCTTTGTTAGAACTTACAGGATTAAATAAATAAATAAATAAATAACAGTGGAACGTGTGTGTTTCACGAGTGACAGATTTTTTATTTATTTATTTGCCTACATTATTCCTTGTCTGCTGCAAGATATATCATATATTTATAAAGATTTTATATTTTTAAGATTTCTGTTTGTGTCTCAGTGTTGTTGTTTTTTTATGCTGCTGGAAAAATAAATTATTACAATATACAGCTACTTTTGAACGGTCATCCATGAAGAAACATTATTTTGCCCACATAGTGTAGTATGGTTACGGAATCGACCAGGGTTACAGTATGCAATGATCACAGCTTGAATCCAGAGCAAACTCATGTTCCTTCATTGTGTGCTGCTTCCTCCAGAGCCGCATTTGGATCCCGTTCATCCCCTCCCTTCCCACGTCTTTCAATCCTGTTCTCTAAACCGGAGTTTTTCTAATTGCCTTTAATTTCCAGAGTTAATCAGAGCATTGTTAATTACATGAATATTTCAGAGGAGAGCTCATTATGTGTGGACGTGGCACACAGACATAGAGCGAGAAGAATGGATAGGTCTAATTAGCACATGAGTAAAGCTGGCCTCCCTGATTGTGATGGCAAACACAATAGGGATGACGCCAGCAGGAGAGGCCAGGAAGCCCTCACACACACCGGGAGGAGAGGGAGGATGGGATTCTACAAAGTAAAGGTCACTGTACACGTCAGTGTAATCAAGGACCAATAAGTACACCTTCCTCAGTCTTGAGATGGGAAACTTCGTTCTGAAAAGATCTTTAGCTATGATAGTGTTTACTGCTGTATACTAAATAGTAAAATGCAGTCTTTTTTATTTTTATTTTTAAAATTCCTACGGGGGAAAAATTATATTCATGAACTCATGAACATTTAATATTATATAGATTCTCGCAAAGAAAATACAATTATAAAAAATACATGTAAAAATATTATATAATTATATAATTGTATATATAATGATTAAAATATAAAAAATATATAAAATATAAATATTGAATTTTCATGACCTAATATATGAAAAAGTTTTTCACAGAGTCCTGCATACTTTGCCAACTGCATGTCAAATTAATTAATTCATTAATTCATTCAATCAATTAAATTAATTAATTCATTCATTCATGCATTCAATCAATTCATTCTTTCATTCATTCATTCATTATTTTTGTAATAAAGTTTTGTGATTTTATTTCTTTTTTATCATGGTTTCTGATTTATTTATTTATTTATTTTGTAACAAATATACATTTTTACAATTCCAAGACATGTCAGTATTTACAATTGCATGCTTATTATATATATATATATATATATATATAAGTTCGTTTTATTATATTTTTTGTACATCTTATTTATAAATGGGAAGCTCTGACTTTTTTCTGAATTTTTTTTATTACATTGTACTGTATGACATAAAAAAAAGAAGACTTGAAAGCAATTTGACAATGTGATATATCTAGAAACATTAAGTAGTAAGATAAAGAGGTTGTATTTAAAATATCCTTTTCACTTTCTTAATTAAAATAAATTTGCTATACTGAACATGTTATTTTACACTTTGTGCCCTTGGATTTCTGAATTGAAACATTTTAAATATATGCATTCGAAAGCTAACACCTGAAGCAAAACACAGTAATGTGCATTTAATGATATTATACCAGGGCCAGACTGGGATGCAATTTCAGGCCGGGAAATCTCACACTCATCCAGGCCATCCTATACACCAACAACAATTTCTGAAACCACAGACAACCCTATTATTTCTATGGCCATCACATAAAAATGTCTAAATCCTTAGTCTGGGGCCGTGGAAAATAATTAAAGGTTCTCTCTTGAACTGCACCTTCACTTCCCTTTTTCTTTTCTTCCTTTTCTTCATTTTCCCCAATATATCTGTCTCTCTACTGTTATGAACAGAACTGTCCACCTTGTTGCAAAACAACCATCTCATTGCAATTTGTTAGCACAGAATGTTGTTATTTATCTTAAAATGACTTAAATGGCCAATATTTAACAAACCTACATTATATTTCATACAAATATATTAAAACGCATTTTCTAAAGTGCCTAAATGTCAAAATTAGTACAATATCTTTATTAAAAAATCATAATATTGAACACACTATTACATTATTAGGCTGTGACCCATATTAATATATGTCTGCTAAATTGATTAATGTAACTTTACAATCAATAATGATGCCCTTTAGCACAGTATTATGACTGACAATAATAATGGGGTGCTCCTGATAGCCTAACAGCAGTTTAATAGCCTACTCAACTAGGTTAATAAAGACAAAACTACAGTAGCGTATTTACTGATGAAACTGACCTGCACTTGAATCCCTGAACAGGTCACTAATTTTGCTACATTTCACTGCTTCTTCTGGCCGTTTCCTCTCCTTCCTCGGGTCCCGCGCATCGATTACTCTGTTTGAAACCGTTTGACAGAAGCACGTAACAGACGAGCCGATTCGTATAGCGCTACCAGTCAAGACTAACCGAATTATGTTTTTTTTATCGATTTATTGTCGAATGACAAAATCGGAAATGATCACTTTGGTACATTGGGAAGGCAGAGATATAAAATATGAATAATAATAATAATAATAACTAAAAAAAAACAAAAACAAGGCCTGCATTATACTGTACGTCATATAAGCTTTTTGGTAACAGCTAACATTCACATTGTTTCTATAAGAGGGTCACAGTGCTCTCTCTGTGTACTTGCCCTGTGGAGCGCTTTTAGAGAACACAGATGGGAACATTTACACTGCTACACTTCAGCCTCATGAAAAAAGACACATACACAGAGACCCATGGGAATTGCTCTCTGCTAAAGTAGTGTGTCTGGGGTCTGGGAGGGCACTGCACACAGGGGGAATGGTGTACCTGTACGCCATGTGCATTTGTCCATGAAAAGGGCACAAGCTACAGAAAAGTCACCAATGTGAGAGGAGATTACTTCAGCTAACTTCCCCTCCAGCCTCTGGCCATTTGCCATTAATGGTTCTGAAAAAATGAAAAATTCTAGGTCGCATTTTCTGTTCATAATTTTCCTTTTAGCAGTGCTTGTCCACTGTTATTATATGTGGCGGGCAATTTTCGCATGCAGGCTAAATGTATAAAATATCTTTGCTTTCACTGCATGTCAATATTTTTATTTTTATTTTTTTTCAGAATTTCAACTCAATATTCTTTATCAGTAAATAATTTCAATGAACTTTGCCTCCACATGTTGCATTAAAATACTAATAAGCAATTAAACAAATTTTCAATTTCAGTGGGTTGTTTTTTTTCTTTCTCCCTTTCCTCATCATAAGCTTTATCTTGCAGGTCTTCCAGCCCTTGTGGTCGCTGTATCTGTGGGTTTTACCCGGGCCAGAGGTTACGGCACGCCAAGTTAGTAAGTATCACTGATGCAGCACAGTTTCACAAAGAAAACATTTATGTTACATTAAAACATTGTTCTGGTTCTGTTTTGAGGGTTACAGTATGTCAAGTCTCAGTCAAGTCTTTGGATGTTAAAATAAATACAGAAGTACCTACAGTACATCTAAAATACATTACGATATTTATTTGTTATAGTAATTTTGTATGATCACAGAGTACTTGGTAAAATGGGTAGTGGGTCATATTGCATTGTCTTTAAATTACATTCAGAAATAATGTAAAATACTGGTAAATAAAACAAAACAACCACTATAAAAAGGCATTGAATTTCCCTCACTCCAAATAAAAATTATTTAAATTTATTTAAATTTATTTAACTTCTAAACAAGAATAAAATATTTTTTAGGCTTGTCATTTATACTAAATGTTTATAATGAATGCCACTATATATAAATAATAGTGGCATTCATTATAAACATTTAGCATGAATGACAAGCCTAAAGAATATTTGAAGTGAAACTGAAACTACTAGCATGTGGAAAATGCACATGTTTGACATTTATTGCTATGTATATGACACATTTCACTCCAGTATATAGAGTTTCACAATTCTAAGAATTATGATTTTATCAAAATGTCATAATTTATGTTCATGTCAAGAGACCAGTGAACAAATAATAGGTAACACTTAAGTACAGGGACCAATTCTCAGTGTTAACTAGTTGCTTATTAGAATGCCTATTATTAACATATTGGCTGTTTATTAGTATTTATAAAGCACATATTCTGCATGACCATATTCTACATCCCTAATCTTACCCAGTATCTAAACTTAATGACTACCATATCAAATAGCAATAAGCAGCAAATCAGGAGTTGTTTTGTTTTTGTTTTTTGTGGTAAAAGTTGAATTGGACCAAAGTGTGACATGTTGAAGTGTGACCAAATCCAAGTCTGAAAATAGGTTTTACCAACTGATATGATGCCAGCTGTTTTCATCTTTAGAGCTGCATTTTGATGCACAGACAAACGCAAGAAATGTGGTGTTTTTGTGAGTGTATGCTGCCTAATGTTGACCTTTTTACTTTGGAAGAAATTCTTCAACAAGAATCTTGAGTCAGAGAGTCCTGTTCTTCCTCTATTCCTATGGATTCCCACAAAGTGGTGGCCATTTCTGCTGCTCTGCATATAATGGTTTCTGTCTTTACTCCACTGCTAAGCAATTGATTTAAACCAGGGAGCTCCCTGACTAATCGGAGACAAAAGTTGAAAACAATGGTGGCCTTTGAGCGCTTTAATTGGATATGTCTGACACATGGATTCCCCTCGAACTAAAGGACACATTTTGGAAACACTGCCAAGAAGTCAGCAGCCTCAGATAACCTCACTGCCGGGCTCAGTAACAGCCTGCTTACTTCACAGGCACTCTTCTCTACAGACGTATGCATGATTTGAGTGCATACGTCTATCAGTTCAGTTCAGTTCATCTTTATTAATTTCCCGAAGGCAATTTGGTTGCAGCATACAAGCATTTCACATAGACAACAAAAACACAATACAAAAAACACAATCCATTTCCTTCCTAAAAAATTCTTACCTTAAATTTAAAAACTTTACAGCTGAAGGGATAAATGAATGTCTAAACCGATTTGTTTTACTAATAGGGGTTCTATAACGAATGCCAGAAGGGAGAAGGTGGAACTCGTCATACATGGGGTGGGAATCATCTAACAAAATGCTCTGGGCTTTCCCCAAAACCTGTCTATGATATAACTGGGCCATAGTCATCTGCTTCCTCCCGGTTATCTTACTTCCCTGGTTTACAATCCTCTCAAGACAATTCTTGTTTTTCACATTTAGAGCATTAAACCAGGACAACAATGAAACAGATAACAGTGACTCAATATGGCATCTGTAGAACATGCACATCAATGTTTTGTCCACATTAAATGACCTTAGTTTCAGCAAGCAATACAATCTTTGCTGAACCCTCTTACACAAAACATCAGTATTGGGAGAAAAGGACCATTTGTTATCCAAAACAGTACCCAAGTACTTGTACTGTTCAACACTCTCAATACCTACTCCATTAATGCTTGTTTGCTTATACTGAATTTCCTCCTAGAGTTAAAATCAATAGTCATCTCCTCAGTTTTAGAAACATTAAGTTTTAAGAAAGCATTTTGACACCACCTTATAAAATCATCAACCACAGGACCATACATGGAGTCCTCCTCACTCATTAAGCTAACGATTACAGAATCATCAGCACATTTTATAATATGCATATTTCTATAACTACTCTTACAGTCATTTATGTACAAGATAAATAATAAAGGAAAGAGGACACATCCTTGAGGTGACCCAGTAGATGACACCAGCCATTCAGAAAAACAGTCATTTACTTTAACTCTCTGTGTTCTCTGCACAAGGAAATCTAAAATCCATCCTACGAGACTAAAATCCAACCCAAATTCATTAATGAGCTTCTCAACTAAAATATTAGTTTATTAGGCTTATCCAGATGCTGAAGTACTAAGTGTAAGAGAGTCGCTACTGCATCCTCTACCCCTCGCTTAGGCCTATATGCAAATTGTCCTTTGCATAATTACTTTCTTAACTAATTTTTCAAAACATTTCATCACTAGGGATGTAAGCGCCACAGGTCTAAAATCATCCGATACCTGTACATTATGCTTTTTTGGCACTAGAATCACTGTAGACTGCTTCCACAGTGCAGGTACTTTTTGTTGTTGAAGGGACAGAGCAAACATTTCATAAAATATTGGACCTAACTGCTCGGCACATTCCTTAAGTAACCTACCCCCTATATTATCAGGTCCAGGTGCCTTCCTTATTTTACACTGTTTAAAAACTGTTATCACATCTCTCACATTAAAAAAGACACAATCATACTCCCCGTTTATTCTACATTCAGTTTTTCAACCCATCGATTTCCTGTTTAAAATCATAAGCATCAAATCTTAAATAAAAATTATTAAAATCCTATGACAAAACTGCATCTGAACTGAATCCATTCAAACTAATTATATTATTACTTTTCCTACTATCCTGACCTGTTATTAAATACATCCCCTCCCAAGCAGAACCTAAATTTCCCATTCTCAATTTTACCTCAAGATCTAACTTATAGGCTGATTTAGCCTAGAATGCTCAACTGTATCTCCCTCTTTAAAGGCCCTATTTCTTTTTGACGGAAGAATCTTGAGTGATTTTGTGACCCATGGTTTGCTGTTTGGAAATTTCTTAAACGATTTCACAGGTATTAACATATCCTCACAAAACTTCACATAACTACAAATTACATCTGTTAATTCATCAATGTCCAAACCAGAGTCCATAAAAACAGTCCAATCTGTACATTCCATACCAGGGCCATCCTTAGCTGACGCGGGGCCCGGTGCGAGTTAGGGAGCGGGGCCCCCCTTGGTCCGTTCGCGATCGCGTTCCGGGAGGTGGTGGGGGGGGGTCCCCTTCAGTCCGTCCGCCGTGGGGCCCCCTAAAGTGTGGGGCCCGGTGCGACCGCACCAGTTGCACCCCCCTAAGGACGGCCCTGTTCCATACGCCCCTTTAAATGTAACGTCGCATCTTCAGACCAGTCCTTCATCTTAATTAACTGTGCCTTTTCACGTTTCAAAACAGTTTTATATGTAGGAACAAGTAATACTGTATTGTGATCTGAAGTTCCTACAGGTGGTTTACCAAATGACTTGTAAGCTCCTTTAATCGATCCATAACACAAGTCTAAAATTTTATCCTTACGTGTTGGGCAAGTTACATACTGGTTGAAGTGTCCCAGTGATTTCTCCAATGTACAATTAATAAAATCTCCCAGAATAAAACTGGGTGCATCAGGAGATACAGATTGTAGTTCATGCACCACGCGTTCAATCTCCCTTGCCGCATTGTCCTCGTTTGCTCGGGGATGAATATAAACAACCGTGACAAACAGCTGAGGAAACTCGCGAGGCAAGTACTGAGGTCTTAATGCCACCATCTGCAACTCAATATCTTTCGTGCTCACTCTCTCCTTAACAGACACTGATTTGCACCAGTTCTCTCTAATATACAGACATACCCCACCTCCTTGCACTTTACCGGTTTCCCTCGCATCCCGGTCCATACGAACAGGTACTCCGAAGTCATCCAGTCGTAAACCCAAATATGAATCCGCTTCAGAAAGCCAAGTCTCTGTGAGCGCCATCAAGCAAACATTCCTGTAGTCATGCTGGAATTTCACCATAGCTTGAAGCTCATCCGTTTTTTTTCCATAGAGATTGCACTATGATCTTTTCACAGCGGACATTTCACAAGGACTTCAGAATACAAACTAAATTGAAATCTATTTGATTGCACTTGACCAGAACATTAGCAAATATTGAAATAGCTTCATTAAAATCATGATTAATAATGCTCATCTATAAAGTATGACCTTCCAGCTTATGTAAAGCTGCATGTTTGTGTAGAACTTTAACAGGCAATATCTTTCTGTCTTTTATTTGGTCTCTGCAATGAAAGCACTTTAACAGTATGATATTTCCAGTAACCAAGTAGTAAGATGAAGAGGTTGCGTTTGAGATATCCACTTCAGTTTCTTAATTTAGGGAATACATTTGGTTAGAATCCAAGCTGGCTTAATTTATTGCTCTTCTCCTTTTTTTAATGTAATCTTTATTTGTGTGAGAAGAAAAAAAATATTTTTATTAAAAAATATATTTTCAGTTACTTTCTTACCAACCCCTTTTTTTTCTGAAGCCAACAATGTCTCAAATCTCTCTAGTGATTTGCAGCGTTTATATTTCACTGTATCTCTTTCTTTCTCTCAATTTCAGTTGTTGGTTGTCTCTGGAAGGAGGGCTGCTCTATGCTTTTGTCGGCCCCGCTGCTGTCATTGTACTGGTAGGTTTCAGACTTTCTGCATTTTCATTGGCTAGACTTAACCAACATGAGCTCCACCCACTTTAATATGCATTTTAAATATATCAAGCTAGCAGTCGAAGAGAAAAATCACGAATGAGATTAGAGTTGAGGCCTGCCTCATTTCAATGTGTGTATTTTTCATCAGTGTATATCATGTTAAAATGCATGAGTGAACATGATGAGCTTATTAGCCCAAAGCAACCAAAGTGTGTGTGTGTATATATATATCGTCCACAGCCCAGGTCTCAGGTGCTGTGTGTTTTCTGTGAGGTGTTTGCGTTGTTTTTCATGGTCAGATGTGATTTGCGTTGTTTATTTCTTGGTGGCGCCGTGAAGCGGCCCACTCAAACAAACAACTGCAAATGAGATTTGGGCATCTGGAGATGCTGGCTCCCTCCTTGGAGAGGCTAATCTAATTAATGGAAAAATAATTAATCTTGCCTCTAGCAAATAGTAAAACGGAGACCTATTGTCTAAGTTAGCGCCTCGCATGATGAGAATACGAATGGCACTCGTAAACGTGTTAGACTTGGTAGGTTGGATATGCTCTCGGAGCAGACTGAACAGGCTGAGTGTTAATTTAGTGCAGGGGTTTTCAACCTGGGGTTTGTTGTGGGTCCATTATTGTTTCATCTCAAGCTATTTTTGGATAACGCTTGGGTAAAACATTAGTTAATAGAATAGCTAGCATGAACTAACAATGAATAATATTTTTACAGTGTTTATTTATTTATTTCATCTCAACATCAAATTTTTGTTTTAAATTTAGACAAATTAATACAAATTAAGGTTAGTGTATTATGAACAAAATGCACTACCATTCAAATGTTTGGGGTCAGTAAGATATACAGTTGAGGTCAAAAGCTAACATAAACTTTGCAGAATCTGCAAAATGTTAATTATTTAACCAAAATAAGAGAGATCATACAAAATGCGTGCTATTTTTCTTTAATACTGACCTGAATAGGATATTTCACATAAAAGACATTGCATTTATAAAAATTAACCCCATTCAAAAGTTTACATATGCTTGATTCTTAATACTGTGTTGTTATCTGAATGATGAGGACAACTGAGGGACTCATATGCAACTATTACAGAAGGTTCAAACACTCGCTGATGTTTCAGAAGAAAACACGATGCATTAAGAGCCCTTCAGAGGGTGAAAGCATTTTGAATTTGAAGATCAGGGTAAATGTAACTTATTTTGTCTTCTGGAAAACATGTAAGTATCGTCTGTAGCCTCTGAAGGGCAGTACTAAATGAAAAAAAATATGATGTTTAGGCAAAATAAGAAAAATGTACACATCTCCATTCTGTTCAAAAGTTTACACAAAAACAACACATTTTGTATGATCCCTCTTATTTTGGTAAAATAATTATAATTTTTCAGATTCTGCAAGGTGTATGTAAACTTTTGACCTCAACTGTAGATTGGTAATAATTGGAAATGTTTCTTGAGCACGAACTATTACAATGATATCTGAATGATAATGTGAAGAATGAAGTAATGACTGCTAAAAATTCAAAATAAAATTTTAAAATATTAAAATAGAAAATGGTTATTTTAAATTGAAATACTATTTAATAATAAAGTGAAGTGAAGTGACGTAACGTGACATGTGGCCAAGTATGGTGACCCATACTCGGAATTAGTGCTCTGCATTTATCCCATCCAAAGTGCACACACACAGCAGTAAACACACACGCACCGTGAACACACACCCGGAGCAGTGGGCAGCCATTTTT